GTAAGAAAAAATAATTAGCAGTTGTTAAGCTTGAAGAGGAATCAATAAACTTCAACACACACCAAAAATGAATAAATTAAGAAAAAAAAAAAAAAAAAAACAAGTCCGTGTAAACATGGTCTTTTTTTCTTTTTTTTTGACCGAAGGACTTTGTAGGCGTGTTGCATTGCATAAGCGCAAACATCACCCTTCCGTGTCTGTTTTACTATATCTTCAGCGTCGGTAACACTGACTGTAATAGCAACAGCAAGATTTTCTGAAGGAGGAAGAGAGGCAAAAATCTTCACACACGTTACCGTTCTATGCTGCGTTCTTTAGCTTCAGTCCCACTCCATTGAATACTCAAATCCTTCCGCTAGAAAAGTCATTTTCTATCCATAAAACATCAACTTCCGCCCTCAAGTGCAGTTATATGCATTGTAGGGAGTAAGTCTTTTAAACCCTTTTTTTTATTTTCAGTTCGTTATGATCATTTGCGATTCATAAATCTAAGTGAGGTTCATAACTCAGGGTTTAACCAACAGTGCGCGCTAAACCTTTTTTTTTTTTTAATGGGTTTCGAAAGTTAATGGATGATGTAGATTTCGCAAAGGCTTCTGTGTCAGTCATATTTTTGCAGTCCATATTTTATCCATCATTGGCTTCCCTTTCACGCAGTAGCAAGATTAGTTGATGCTACGTTTGAGTGTATTTTCGCTCTGGTCTTCATCGTTTATGAAAAAGGATTCGATCCCTTTACCTCTCCATCTTTCTCTTGCTGAATGCATTTATCTTGTTTCAAAACGCTTAAATCTCGAAGATGTATGACTGGCAGAAGTGCTTGATATTGTGTGTTGATTTAGTTCCGGAAAGGGAAGAAAACTTTTGATTAATAAAACAGTTAGATTTGCTACAAAAAAGCATAAATGTATTTCTCACAAGTCACTGTAAAGTCTTGGAAACTATGAAAGGAATGTAACATATTTACTATAATTTTTCTTCTGCACACATGATTAGATACAACGTACATGAAAAGGTAACGTATCTACTCAAAATACAACGGACTTTAAGCGCTCTAGATCATTTCATATCATTTATTTGAAGAAAAAGTATCGCCGTCACGCCCAGCGCTGGATGTGAAGCAACAGGCGCTCGTCCTTGATAGTGCGGAAGACGAGGGTTTTTCGTTCACATCCATTACTCGCGTCATTAGTAGTACTGAAGTAGAACGGAACATCACGAAATGCTTCCCGTGTTGGGCGGCTTTCACACGTGGCTTACCGAGCTGCGGCGGGGCTTCTTTTCCGTTCCATTGCCATTTTACTGTCGCACCTTGTCTTTACGCACATGGCAACATAACAATATAATCAAAACCAAACAAGCAGCATCAAGAACACGTATTATACGCATGTTACGCTCAATGTTTAAGCAGCACGCCATGCATTACGGTAGCACACGCTGGCATACGTGAGTCACATCTTGTTTTGAAACGTTTTAAATGGCGGTTATGCTCTTAGCTAACAAGCGACCTTCGGAGAGGCACCAGTCGTTTGTGGTTTATCCCCGGAGTCGGCAGTTTCGTAAACAGCTGACCATATTTCGCATCTCGGTTGAACTTGGAGGTTGTCAAGTATGATACATCTTGCTTAAGGAGAGGTGTTTCAAGGTAAAACTCCCTCGAATAATTTTTCAGCATTCGTTTTTACGTGTACGAGGTTAGTTTTTTTTTTATTAGCTATTACAGACACGGCGATAAACAGCGTGATAAAATTTCAGAGCAAATCACATCACGTGTCCTCTGTAATCCAGATCATGTCCATAAATACAGAAGCTAATTGCAGTAGGAGACGTGAATAGGGCGCTGCAGTGCAATGTTATGCATCTACGGGCGGAAATGCAGTGAACAGCGAATTCGCCAACAACCTTCAGATCTCCAGCATCGACGTAAAGAACCCTTCCGTGGACTGAGAAAAGGCAAGTTGTAACTAGTGACACCGCTAGTTTGCGTCTTCAATGTCACGTCTCTTGTCAAGTAGAGAGAGCTGTGGAAACGGAACGGAGACATGTTTGTTTTTGTTGGCACTTTGGAGTCGATTTTCAATATATTAGTTCTACCTTGAGGCGAATAAATGTGATCATAACAATAGGCAATGTATCTGCTGTTGAATTACATTGCAATTAATTATTTATTTTTTGTGAGCGGCTAAATATTTTTGTTTATGGAAAATATAGTAATTATACTCAGTATAGTAGAAACCATAGAGAAAAAATATCTTAAAAAGGAAATGTACGTGTCATGTTCCGCAACATTTCTTGTTCTACACACATTCTTACTCTTTTTCCCAAAGTCACGAAGATTCTTCCCCTGGAATAAGTTCCTACAACGTCCCATGGAAACACATACCACATACTATCACATCGTGACATGAAGTGACGTGACGCAGAAGCTAGTTCACCGCCCGCGTCCCCGTTGGCGAGAGAGCTGACTTTCTACGAGTGCGTCAAAGTCCGTGCCTTCTACTCTCCTGTCAAAGTGTCACCTGAATTCCTCCGAGTGTATGCCTTCTATTTTTGTATTTATTTACTTTTTATTTATATGTGGCACTGCATTTTCACAGTATAAGGTTGATTCGAGGTTAGTTCTTTTCTCTTGTCAAAATGTCACTTGAATTCCTTGTATGGGTACAGGGTGTAATTTTTCACTGCATTTTCACAGTATAAGGGCAAAGGACATTGATTTGTTTTATGTGTGCGAAGTTAGTTCTACTCTTCTCTTGTCAAAATGCCACTTGAATTCCTCGAGTGTATGCCTTCTATTTTTGTATTTATTTACTTTTTATTTATATGTGCAGGGTGTAATAGCACTGCATTTTCACAGTATATGGGCAAAGGACATTGATTTGTTTTATGTGTGCGAGGTTCTACTCTTCTCTTGTCAAAATGCCACTTGAATTCCTTTCTGTATGCCTTTATTTTTGTATTTATTTAACTTTTATTTACATGTGGCAGGGTGCACTGCATTTTCACTGTATATGGGCAAAGGACATCGATTTGTTTGTGTGCGAGGTTCTACTTTCTTTGTCAAATGCCACTTGAAATTACGGATTGGCTTGATTTAGTTGTATTTCTTTAGATAATTTTTGTATTTCTTTATTTACTTTATTTACATTGTGTAATGGCACTGCATTTTCACAATACAAGGGCAAAGGACATTGATTTGTTTTATTTAGTAAACTTTAGAAACTCAACGAAGATGGTTATGTAATGTTCATTGGTGACGAAAGTAAATATAATGGAGACAGCTCGAAGTATATGGAGTTTTTATCCTTTCTTAAATTCTTTTTGATGGTATTATATCTGACTTACATTCCTGACCAGTAAAGTCATTGTCATTATTATCTTCTTCAGTCTTTTGTCTATAAGCATATGGACGTGGTCTACAGTGTATTCTTTTATTTGTGCAATTATTTTTTTCATAGTGTACTCTGTTGCAAGTGTAGTTATGACTGTCTCGTTTGTGTAGATTCAAGAACATTATACTTCAAAGTTCATATACAAGGTGACATTGGATGGAGGAATGAAAGCCTTAGCAATGTTAATACTGACTTTATTAATTGCATTATATACAATTCATCTTTTATAATGTTCCCCACGCAGTTCACAGGCAAAATAAAACCTGGTCATAAAACTTTACACATAATTCGCTCAAGAACAGATCGCACATGAAGGGAAGAGCATGTGGAGGTCGATATTCTTTTAAACAGTCACAGGCACTATGCTGCCATTGTACATGCATGCATTCACACACACACATACTCGTACACATAATATCCATACGGACACACACTACACATAATATCTCGTACACATAATATCCATACGGACACACACATACTCGTACGGACACATACTCGTACACATACACACACATACACATACTCGGGACACACACATACACACACACACAAACATACTCGTACCATACGGACACACACATACTCGTACACATAATATCCATACGGACACACACATACTCGTACACATAATATCCACACGGACACACACACATACATGTACCCACACAATGTGTACGTTTGTATGCATGTATGCGTAATACATTTACAATACTCTAGCCTGGTGAAAGCATGATACTGAGAAGTGCATGAGTGAATGGAACAATCCGAATGAAAGAATGGTTTATACAAGGGATCTGATGTACAAAACGAATGCACAGAGGTGGAGCTTTGATGAAAACGTGACTGTGAATGAGATACGACTTTTAGTTCATTCAAAAACATGCATGCGATTATTGGAGTGTGAGGTACCGTGTGTGTGTGTGTGTGTACGTGTGTGTGTGTGTACGTGTGTGTGTGTGTGTGTGTGTGTGTGTGTGTGTGTGTGTGTGTGTGTGTGTGTGTGTGTGTGTGTACGTGTGCGTGTGTGTGTGCGTGTGTGTGCGTGTGTGTGCGTGTGTGTTCGCGCGCGTGTGTGCGTAGCGCCAGAGCACCGTGGGCGTGTGTGTGGGCGGGCGCGTTTCCATGCCTGGGGTCTCCGGTAATCGTGTGTGGCGCGGCGCTGTGGCCCGCCTTGTGGTAACCCTGTGGGAAGAAATTGGCCAAGTTTCGCTCAATTTCGATGTTTTCCTCAACACATCCTGCTTTCCCTTCCCAAACGACGGTCTTCTTGTACTCCAGGACATTGTGTATGAGCGCTGGTAGTGTGTATGGCTCTCACTCACTCACTCACTCACTCACTCACTCTCTCTCTCTCTCTAAGACACACAAACATAAAAAGCCTCTTGATAAAAATATAGTACAGCTGACAGACAAATTTCCTAGTAACTCCGATTTGTTGCCATCACGTGAATCGCGATGGTTCTCTTTTCATCGATCTTCTAAAGTGATACGAACAATACTAACCGCTGATGCACATATATACATACAGTCATGTATGTATGTATATATATATATATATATATATATATATATATATATATATATATATATATATTATACATACAC